CACAAAGAAAAAAAACAAAAAAAAAAAGAATAAAAGAAGTTAGTAAGAACCTAACAATAGAGAAAAAAACAAAACAAAACAAAATAAAAAAAATAAAATTAAACTCAAAGGGAAGAAATATATGGGTTGCCTCCCAAAGAGCGCTTTATTTAACGTCTGTAGCTAGACGGTGTAATTATCGATCAATTTGGCTCATCCAAAAGAATTTTATAAAAACTTCTCTCTTCCGTACAAAAGTAATGTTTGAGTCGTTGCCCATTGACTTTGAAAGATCTTCCATCACTTGCTCGTAATTCAATGGCACCATGTGGAAAAACAGGCTTTATGGTAAAAGAACCTGATCATCAAGATTTTAGATTGCCAGGAAATAAACGTAATCGAGAATTAAATAAAAAAACCTGTTGCCCGGGTTCAAAAGATCGATGTTGAATCCTCTTATCATGCCACTTTGTTGTTCTTTGTTTGTAAAGCTTGGCATTTTCATAAGCCTGACAACGAAATTCTTCCATCTCATTAAGTTGTAAAAGGCGTTGCTCCCCAGCTTTTTGAAGATCAAAATTTAATTTCTTGATGGCCCAATAAGCTCTGTGTTCCAATTCCACCGGAAGGTGACAAGCTTTCCCAAACACCAACCGATATGGTGACATACCAATTGAAGTTTTGAAAGCTGTTCTGTAAGCCCATAGTGCATCTTCCAACTTCAAATCCCAATCCTTTCTATTTGCTTTGACTGTTTTCTCCAAAATCTGCTTGATTTCCGTGTTAGAAGTTTCAACTTGACCATTAGTTTGAGGATGATAAGCTAAAGAAATTTTATGTTTAACTCCATACCTGGTGAGCATCGAATTAAAAAATTTATTACAGAAATGCGAGCCTTCATCACTAATAAACGCACGTGGAGTGCCAAATCTAGTAAAAATATTCTTATGCAAAAATTGTAACACTACACGTGCATCATTCTTTTTCGTGGCCACAGCTTCAACCCATTTAGAAACATAGTCAACAGCCAATAAAATATAAAGATACCCATGCGAAGAAGGAAAGGGACCCATGAAATCAATACCCCACACATCAAATAATTCTACCTCTAAAATAGCAGTTAAGGGCATTTCGTGACGGCGAGAAATATTACCTGTTCTTTGGCACCTGTCACAAGTCTTTGCAAAAGTATAACAATCCTTAAAGATGGTAGGCCACTAAAAACCTGATTGAAATACCTTAGCAGCAGTACGAGTAGGTCCAAAGTGACTGCCATAAGGTGAGAAGTGACATTCATGCAAAATACTATTGATTTCCTCAGTTGGTACGCACCTTCGAATGATTTCGTCAGAACAAATTTTGAAAAGTAGAGGTTCGTCCCACAGGTAATGTTTTACATCATGCAAGAATTTTTTTCTTTGATGAGAGTTGAGATCTGGTGGTAATACTCCTCCTGCAAGAAAATTAACAAAGTCAGCAAACCAACGAATACTAGACTCTACCTGATACAATTTCTCATCAAGAAAATCTTCTGTGATGAGGAATGTTTTGGGATTGTCCTGTTCAATCCTCGACAGGTGATCAGCTACCACATTTTCACAACCTCTCCTATCCTTAATCTCAAAATCAAACTCCTGCAAAAAAAGAATCCATCGAATCAGGCGAGGTTTTGCATCTTTCTTATTAAATAAATATCGAAGAGCTGAATGGTCAGTATGCACAGTCACTTGAGTGCCTAACAAATATGGCCTAAATTTATCAAAAGCAAAAACTACAGCAAGCATCTCATTTTCTGTGGTTGTGTAATTTTGTTGTGAACTGTCAAAGGTCCTGCTTGCATAATAAATTGCTCTGAAAATTTTATCTCGTCTCTGGCCCAAAACTGCTCCTACTGCAAAGTCACTAGCATCACACATAATCTCAAAAGGTTAACTCCAATCAGGAACTACAATAACAGGTGCAGAAGTCAGTTTCTCTTTTAACATATTAAATGCTAACAAACAATCATCAGTAAAAAGAAAAGGAGCATCTTTTTCAAGAAAATTACATAGAGGTTTTACAACTTTTGAAAAATCTTTAATAAAGCACCTGTAAAATCCTGCATGTCCTAAAAAACTCCTAATTCCTTTTACATTCATTGGGGGATGAAGTTGTTCAATCGCTGAGATTTTAGCCCTTTCAACTTCCAATCCCTTCTCAGAAACCTTACGCCACAAAACTATCCCTTCTGTGACCATAAAATGGCACTTTTCCCAATTCAGAACAAGGTTAGTTTCTTGACAACGCTGCAAAACACGAGAAAGATTATGGAGGCAAGTGTCAAATGAAGATCCAAAAACAGAAAAATCATCCATAAAAACCTCCATGATGTCCTCAACCATATCAGCAAAAAGAGCCATCATGCATCGCTGAAATGTAGTAGGGGCGTTACACAACCCAAATGGCATTCGTCTAAAGGCAAAGGTACCATAAGGACATGTGAATGTCGTCTTCTCTTGGTCCTCAGGAGCAATCGCGATCTGATTAGAACCTGAATAACCATCAAGAAAACAATAGTAAGGATAACCTGCTAATCTATCAAGCATCTGATTGATAAAAGGGAGAGGGAAGTGATATTTTCTGGTGGCCTTATTTAATTTTCTGTAATCAATGCACACGCGCCACCGAGTCACCGTCCTAGTAGGGATGAATTCGTTTTTGTCCTTTTTTATTACCGTCATCCCTCCTTTCTTTGGCATAACCTGCATAGGACTCACCCAAGAACTATCAGATATAGCATAAATAACCCCTGCCTTAAGGAGTTTTAAAACTTCGGCTTTTACCACATCCTTCATAGCTTGGTTTAGTCTCCTTTAATGGTCGACTGATGGTCGAAAAATATCCTCCATTAAAATTTTATGCATAACTATCGAACGACTAATACCTTTTATATCAGCAATAGACCATCCTAAAGCAAATTTATGAGTGCGCAAAATTCTTAACAATTTTTCCTCTTCTACTTGGCTCAAAGAAGCAGATATAATAACAGGGAAAGTAGAAGGCTCACTAAGAAAAGCATATCGAAGATGACCAGGTAATTGTTTCAATTCAAGCACAGGAGCTTTCACAGGTTCATCAATGTTTTCATTAAGCTCCATCACATCAACTTTAATATTTTTATCATGAATAATTGGTAATCAATTAAGAGCATCATGATAAAAAGAAACCTCCTGATCTAATTCCCCTATTTCCTCAATATCAGAACCAAGCATGCATTTTTCAAGGGCATCAACAAATAAAACAAAAGATCTTATTTCAGCCACAGTGGCATCAACAACATCTATCATATCGCATGTACTTACCTCCTTGGGATATTTCATGGCACGAGATATGTCGAACACAACGACCTCCTCATTAACTCTCAAAGTCAACTTACCCAATTGCACGTCTATCATAGCACGTCCAGTCACTAGGAAAGGTCGTCCCAAAATTTTAGGAATCTTTGAATCTTCTTCCATGTCCAAGACCACAAAATCTGTAGGGAAAATGAATTTGTCAACTTTGACGAGAACATCTTCAATGACACCTCAGGGATAAGTGATAGATCGATCAGCTAGCTGCAAGGATATTGTAGTTGGTTGCACCTCTCCAAGACCAAGTTTCCTGAAAATAGACAAAGGCATCAAATTAATACTAGCACCAAGATCACATAAAGCCTTATTAAATGATGAACTACCAATAGTACAAGGAATAGTAAAACTCCCTGGATCTTTCAATTTATGTGGTAGTTTTCGCTGAAGGATTGCACTGCCCTCCTCAGTGAGATTCACCGTTTCATAAGCCTCTAATTTTCTTTTCCCAGTCATAATGTCCTTCATAAATCTCACATAATTTGGCATTTGTTCCAACGCATCTGCAAAAGGAATATTAATGTGAAGTTTCTTAAAAATTTCTAAAAATTTAGCAAATTGAGCATTAATCTTTTTCTTTTGGAAACGCTGAGGATAAGGTAAAGAGTTAGGAAGACTAGAAGCAATAGAACTAGTAGGCTTGTCAGCCTGTAGAGTAGGAGTGGCCTCCTTTACAACTTCCTCCTTATTTTCCCGTTCCTCAGTTGTGATGACTGGTTCTTCCATTTTTTTCTTTTCAGGCTCCTGGAGCTCCTTTCCGCTTCTCAAAGTGACAGCTTTGCAATGTTCTCGTGGGTTAACTTCCGTGTCACTTGGAAACTTCCCTTTCTGCATAATGTTCAATGTGGATGCCATTTGCCCTATCTGCACCTCCATGTTCTTGATGGCAGTTGTGTTTCCTTCCAATTTAACTTCCATCCCTTCTACCTAATTTTCAATCCGACTAGCTCGACTTCTAGACTCATTGATGAAAGCCCCAAGTAGATCCTCAAGGGAGGATTTCTTTTCAACTGACTGCGATGTAAAACCTGGTGGAGGTTGCAAAACATTCCTGTTGTTAGCATAAGAAAAATTTTCATGATTCCTCAACCCTGGATGATAGTGTGTTAGCAGTGAGCTTTGTTGTTGATTTCCCTTGCAGCCAAAATTTCTATTATTGACATATTGAGCTTGCTCGATGGTTGGCTCATAGTAAGAATATGTATCTGCTCCTGCCACCAACTCTTTTGAATGAGAAGTTTCTGGTCCTGAAAGTTTAGAGACAGCATTAGTCAAAGCTTGAACTTGAGCTTTTAGGGAACTTACCTCATCGATCTCATACATTCCAGCAACTCTTTTGGCATTCGATCGCTCACTAGGCCATTGGAAACTATTGGCTGTCATGTCCTCCAATAATATGTAAGCATTCTCAGGTGTTTTGGATAATAAAGTGCCTCCAGCTCTAGCATCCAGTATAGTCGTTGTTTGTCCATTCAATCCATTGTAAAACATCTGAATCTGCAGCCACTCCGGATAACCATGCTGTGACATTTCCATAGAAGCTCCTTATATCTCTCCCAGGCCTCAAACAATTGCTCATAATCATATTGCCTGAATGATTCGATCTCTGTTCTAAGTTGAGCTGTCTTGGCAGGTGGGAAAAATTTTGTGAGAAACACATGAACCATCTCTTGCCAAGAATTAACACTGCCTGGTTGCAAAGATTTCAACCAATCCCTTACCTTATCCTGCAAGGAAAAAGGAAAAAGGCGTAAGCGAATAGCATCATCAGTTACTCCATTCATCTTCACAGTACCACAAACATCTAAAAACATTGTCAAATGATTGTTTGGATCCTCTGTGACACCACCTCTAAATGTATTTTCTTGAACCATCTCGATGAGGCCAGGTTTCAATTCAAAATTGTTGGCATTAATAGGCAAATTGTTTATGCCAACATGATCGGGGAAGTTCGGCCAACAGTAATCTCTAATGGTCCTTTGGTTATTTCGTTCTAATTGGGGTGGTTCTACAGGTTGAACAATCGGTACAGGTGGTGGTGGATCCATCTCTGCAGTCGTCTTCTTTTTCTCCTTTCGATTTCTTTTACAGGTTTTCTCAATTTCAGAATCAAAAGGGACTAAACTGCGTCTTTGTCCTTGCGCATACAAATCAACTCCCTAAAACAAAAAAAAAAACAAATAAAGATACAAAAATTAAAAACAACTCTAAAGTAAGATTAAAAAGATTCTCCATAGTATCAAGTGAAAGTAAATAATTGCCAATCCCCGGCAACGGCGCCAAAAACTTGTAGCATAAATTGCTTACCGCAAGTGTACGGGTAAAGTTTTAATAAAGGTGGTAAGTAATTACCGATATCGTCCACTGGATTGGGTTTCTAGTCACTCAAGTACTACGGATATTAATGTCCAATTTTATCTAGAGAAACAATCAGGAATTTCTTTTGAC